GAAATAGAAGAAGAAGAAAAAAAAAAAGAAAAAAGGAAAGAAAGAAAGAAAGGGTATAAATTAGAAATGATTTATTTTAATGATTAATTTTCATCGTAAAAATAACAATTATAAAATATTCATATATGACATGTATAATGGACGTACAATGTCGGATATTTTACATGAATGTTTATGATATAAATCTCCTTGGACTTGTTGGAATATATATTATTGTATTATCTAAGTACAAAGAACAGCAATGTTGAATATATTAATGTACTTATTCTTCAAGATTTAATTTAGACTTTGCACTTTTTTGTTTGCGTATCATATATTAATATGTATATTATTATTATTGTTATTATTATTATTATTATTATTATTATTATTATTATTATTATTATTATTATTATTATTATTATTATTATTATTTAACGTTAAATGATTATCGAAAATGTTTGTATTCGAAAATTCTAAATCTTATATTATTCATTTTCGTTCGTAAATATTTTTCGAATAATAATATTATCTTGTATTAACGCAATTTAATATGATTACAACTATAAATGTGAAATATTTAATTTAAATGACATTTAACTTTGTTATCAGACAAGCAAGTAGATACTTCCCGTTGAACGAAATACATATACCTATATATATATATATATATATATATATATATATATATATATATACATATATATATATATGTATATGTATACATAGAAATGTATATATATTACATAGATGCAATTTTAGCTAAGGAACTTTTGTCCATTTCTCTCATTTACTCTCTGACCTGTTTCTAAACTAACCGTAGTAATACAGTTCTATGAAATCCGTAATATTACTGTGGCAAGCCATACATGACAGTAATTGTGTTGGCGGTTTTATAAATCTTTCCTTTTGATGCATCTAAAGCGGCCTTTTTTCTGTCTTTCTTTTTTTTTTCACTTTTTTATTTTCCTTTTCTTTTTTTTTGTTTTTCATATATATATATATATATATATATATATATATATATATATATATATATATATATATGGTCAAAGCATACCCCTGTCCGATTTCATTTTATCTTTATTTAAAACGTCCTAACTTTTATCGTTTATTCTTAACATCGAAATGGTTATACATTCTTTAAAATATTTTTTTATTATTCAATGTTTATATGTATGTTCGTGTATATATATATATATGTGTGTGTGTGTGTGTGTGTATACTCGTCGTAAATTTTTAATATCAAACTTATAAAAATGTTGTATTATCGATAAATCTTCTTAAAGTCTTTACATCTTGCAAAATAAATTTTTATAAGTTCAACTTGATGTACGAAAGACATATAAGAGTGTTGCAGAATATCAAAGGGAACTGTGTAAAGGCTCTAATATCGTTACAAATTCGAAACTTTAAATTTGATTCTTGGTAACCAGTTTTTCTGAGGTTGATTCAGTAAATATCTTTCTCTTTCTCTCTCTCTCTCTCTCTCTCTCTCTCTCTATCTATCTATCTTTTCTCTCTCTCTCTCTCTCTCTCTCTCTCTCTCTCTCTCTCTCTCTCTGTGGAAACTTGATATTCTACATGTACACAAAGAGAAACATTATAACTAAATCCGAGTTGGTTCTTATTTTTATTAGATACTAGAGAAATGGACGACCCATTTTCCATCAAGGATTCACGTTTATTTTACTAAAACCAATATTTTGTATACTCTTTACCTCTTTACATTTCTACTTTAATTTATAAATATAAATTTAGCAGAATAAAAAATACGAGTTTCTATCTAAAAAAAAAAAAAGAAAAAAAAGTAAAAAGGAAAAAAAGAAATATATATATATATAAGATAAGCAAATAAATAAGTCTAATTTCATCAACTACAAAAATCTAAGTCTGTTAAAAACGAGAGAAGCAAAATACAAAAGTAGAAATGAAAATGTGAAAAAGCTTAGTTCGTATAAAAAATTAAGAAAAAAAAAAAAAAAAAAAAAAAAAACAAAGAAGAAAAAAGAAAAAGAAAAGAATATTTAAGAGTTATCTACCTTGAGAGGAAGCCTTTGATTATTACTACAACCTTTTCCTTTTACTCTTTGCCCTTTTTATTTTTTGTTCATTTATTCATAATGAACTCTCTTGTGTTTTAGTATTTTTGTAATACTAATTAATTTTCACAAAAAATATTAAACTGATATTAAAATGGAATAAAAGTATCTTCCTCTGTCTTTTTTTTTTTTTCTTTTTTTCTTTTTTTTTTTAAATACTAATTTACTTTTATAAATAATTAATAAAGAATAAGATTGACATTGACGAAAGAAAATGCTTTATTTTATATATATATATATAGTTGTTACTATTATTATAAATATTATTAAAATATATATAAAAAATTAATTCGTATATATATATATATATATACATATATATATATACATACATACGATTTAATTTTTTATTAACTAAAACCTATGCATATTATTTCACATAGTTTATTCTAAAAAAAATATAATAATTTCAAAAGCATCGAACAATAAATAATATCGAGTCACGTTGGTCGTAAAATTATTATTGAAATAAATTAAATGCCATTTAAATATTAAGTTCGAAACTACGTTAATAAATATTTAAGTTGGATCGTAGGATCGGGTAAAAAAAATGAAGCGAGTTAAATTCATGATATTATACTTATATATACGATCGAAGATAACATATGTAACGGGTTACGATGGAGATAAAATCCAACGTAAAATAATCTTTACGAGCTACTCCCATATTAGATTCGCAAAGTGAAATCCATGATTAATGGGAATGTTAATATCGTCAATTGTACTATCGTCGATGTGGACATACATATACATAGCACACACACACACACACATACATACATACATACATACATACACAGATACATATATATATATATATTTAGATAGGTATTGGATAAGTGACATTCATAGCTATCTCATAGTGGTTCGTATTGAGCACATGACAATTGCCATAGGGTATACAAGAACGAAATTTATTCACCTAGGAAAATTGATATTGCGAATACGAGTAATGGGCACTATGACGGCGATGGTATATCCCTTTGAACGTCGTTATCATACTTGTTAAAGTCAAAGTTCTTTTTTCTTTTACCCTTTTTTCTTTTTTCTTTCTTCTTTCTTCTTTCTTCTTTCTTCATTTTCTTTCTTTTTTTTATTAAAAACATATTCTTTCTAAGATTAATACATTACGAACGAATATATATATATATACATATGAATCAAAATAGTATCTAAGTGGATAAATAAGTATTAAAAACGATAATGAAAGGATTGAGATATTCTGCTTATATAAATATTTTTGTTAACGTATAAAACAAATAATTTATTTTATAATATGATCATTAGAATTTATAGTCACGTTGCAAATGTCATAATTATTTTAAGTCACGTTAATATAGTAGAATTTTATTTATCGAAAGGAAAAAGGAAAACGTTGACACAAAAGTGAATAATAAAATGTTTTGAATATTTTTAAAATACATTTTCATGGATCATTTAATGTTATAAGCTTTTACTTATCTAACTATAGGTGCAATTATTTTTAACGTTAAAATGACATGATTTTAATATCTATGAATAACCATCAACACGCTTGGATATTCTGAATTTATTCTTTAAAAATTTCTCTTGAACCAAAAATTCTTTCTCTCCCTCTCTCTCCCTCTCTCTCTCTCTCTCTCTCTCCCTTTTTCTCCTTTTAGAAAGTCGGTGCAAAGAGAAAATAACAGTTAAGTGCAGAATGTATCACGTACAAGTAGGTAAGACTGGAAGATCGTAACCGTATTTTCACTGGAGTCGCTTTTACCTTGCTTTACCTATAGTAGATACATATATATACATATTTATATATATATATATATATATATATATATATATATATATATATATATACACATTAAATAGTTTTTGTCATTTCTTTTTGGAAACTTTACCATTCCGCACAGCAGAATGTAAAAAAATGTTAAAAGTTTTTCAAAGAAGACGCTCCTCGAAAGTTTCTTTTATGGAAGCTCATAAAAAAGAAGAAAAATACAAAAAAAAAAAATAAAAATGGAAAGAAAGAAAGAAAAAAAAAATGGAAAAGAAGAAAAAGAAAAAAAAAGAAAAGAAAAGGCCTTTCGAATCAACGCGTCATGCGTCTAGCGTTACACTCCATTTTGAACTATTTTAATTATCTCTCTAATTTATTAATTGTTAAATAATTTCAATGAGATTATTCATCTTATCCCTTAAAATTTATATATCCATTATTTTCAGGTTCAATAAATATCTGATGATCATCTGAAGATCATTTATTTGATATTAATTATTTGAAACGTAGTTAAGCTTGCAATCACTAATTGAGATATAAATATTTTTAATTTCTTATTGGAGTATATTAGATTGATAATTAACGTCGGATTATTTTTTAATACTTAATATCTATAAAAATAAGTATTAGATATTTTTTCAACATTAATTTTAATTTACAATTATTTTGTATTTAACTAAACAATATCCAACCTAAATTTAACTAAATTTAACTAAACAAATCATTACTATGTTTTATCAAACATTAACACACACACACATACACGCACACACACACACACACACACACACACATACGCATTGGCCGACTTAATACTTATTTTGAATTAAAAACTTTTACTATATTTTTTCTATTATATTAGTAATAGAAATATAATTAAATAATAAAATATATCGTTTCGTATTAAAATATATTCTACCTGATTTCAAACCTTAATTAAATGCCAATCTTAAATTAATCAATTAAACGATTAAATATCAATCATAATTAATTTTACGTTTTTATATAATACAATTAAGAAGAAAAAAAAAAAAAAAGAAAAAAAAAGAAATTATATTCTATAGATAATCCTAGCGTTAAAATTTGTTTATTCTTATAATTATCTAATTACTTTTCAATCTATTTCATTCGTTAATAATCATTTATATTTTTTCAATTGATTTCAGTTTCAACAAATTGCTCTTGCAAAAGGAGGAGCTAGAGCAAAAGCATCTGCACCTGTTGCAGATCGTTGAAAGTGAGAAAACGGCTAAGTGGCAGTATACACAACAATGCGAGGAGCTTGCATCGGAAATAAAAAAGCTTCGGGCTGAGGTAAGCGATAATAAAATAAAATTCGTTATATTTTTTTACCCTCTCAATAACAATCTCGTCCATTCATACGACGAAAGAAATTTTTTTTCCGTCGGAAGGAAGGAAGGAAGGAAGGAAGGAAGGTAGGAAGGAAAGAAAGAAAAAAAGTAAGGAAAAAATTATTATTTACAAATCTATACGAAATAATATTCGATAATTCAGAATTTTCATTCGAAAAGAAATCTTTAAAATATTTTTCTTGATTCTATTAATAATAATAATAATAATATTCTTTAATAATTTTATCTTTGAAAAAAATGATCACAATTGTTATGCGTGAACTCATCGATATATATATATATATATATATATATATACATACACACCCACACATACACACCCACACACACACATTGTACATATAAATTATCTTATTAATTGTATCTATAATAATTATTATTATTATCAATATGACATATACATACACACACACGCATTATACTTATATATATATATATATATATTAAATTATTCCTATCATAATATCATATGTTATTATCTTTATTATTATATTACACGTATATTATTCACTCTATATCGATAAATTTGCATAACAATTTTCGTCACTTATCTAACTTCAAAATTATAAACCGATCGTTATTAAGTATGCTTATTAAAATTCACTCGTTAAATCGAGTTTTATTTAGAATATATTATGAAGTATGTATATACAAAATTAAATAATTATATACATATATATATATATATGTATATACACGATTTACATGAAATAGATTTCAAGATTGTAAATTCATATATACCATGTAAAATGAATATTTACGAATGTATGTTCCTTTTATGATTATCGAATCGAAGTAATTAAACAAGACGCAAACGAGAATAGATCGATTCTAATTTCCATCAGAAAATGTACGTATAATCAAGAACAGTTGGACAGGTCAAAAAAAGGAAGAGGAGGAGGTGGAGGAAGAGGAGGAGTAGGAAGAGAAGGATGAGATAGGGAAGAGGAAATATACGATCCTTCTCATTGTGTAATGACTATGTAATCTCGATTGATCCAAAGTTACTTTTCCCCCTCTCTTTTGCCCTCTTCGACACAAAAACGAAACACCCTTTCATAAAGATACCCTACAAATGGTAATTTCAGTGAATACTATTTACATAACGAAACTTGATACGTTCGTTCTCTCGACGGATTGTATTTTTTTTTATGTTTTCTTCTTTATTTGTTTTCTTTTTCTCTTTTTTCTTTTTTTCCTTGTTTTTGTATTTCTTTTTCTTTTTTTTTTTTTCTTTTTTATTTTTCTTTTTTCATTTTTCCGTTCCCTTTAAACTTCGATTTCACTTAGTGCTATAATTCTAATGTGGAAGAATAAATGATGGTAAAAAGCTCTCAAAGGAATATATTACGATAATAGTGATAGCAGAAGGAATATAATATTATGTTTGGTTGAGAGAGAGAGAGAGAGAGAGAGAGAGAGAGAGAGAGAGATAGAGAGAAAGAGTGAAAAAAGATAATCCAACCGCGAGAGCTTTCACTCCATTCAAGATCAAGTATAGGTATATATGTAATAGCATATAAAATGTTAAATTTATTTTTAGACAAAGTATATTAGTGGTGCATTAAATTTTTATTCTGAACTATGTGAAATTTTATATAAATATAAATATATATATATATATATTCTTTTTTTTTTGTTCATTTTTTTTTCTTTTCTTTAATCCAATGACTATGCATAATATTGTTTGAAGTTACGTTACTATTAAATATAAGAGATTATAAATTTAATCAAATTGTAATTCTTTGCCATCAAGAAAATACATTAGAAATTACGATGATTAGATTGCCGATTAGAATTAATTAAATTTTTCGTTCGTGACTGTTTTCCTTTTTTTTTCTTGTTAGATTATCTTGTTAGATTAAATACATTAAAAATCATAATCAATGTCACATGATGACCTATCCTATTTTTATATGTATATTAAAAAAAAATTATATATATATATAATATATATAATATATATATAATATACATATATATTGGTTTAAAAATTTTACATAGTTTGACCATATTTACCTAATACCTAATACCCTATTAGATATTAATATAATCGATTTTTGTTAAACGTTTATAATTATGTATCATTGTAATTTGAATATCGGATAATGATTATTAAATATGAAATACGAATAACAATTAGATATAAATTTAAAACTTGGGAACAGTTGCAGCTGTTGTAAATTATAACACGAGTACGAGTACATACGTCGCTATAGAATATTGCAAATGAACGTACTATGTAATGTCGCTTTCAAAAGTTTTCTTCTGAAAATGAATCACTTGTAAATTAGCCTTAGGATAGATCCCGAAATCATAGTTAGTAACAAAGTTTTAAAAGGAGTACGATAAAAGATGATCTTAGTTAGATCTCTCGAGAAACTTAGAAATAGGACGAACGTGTTGTCTCTATTAGTAAATTATGATACTTTATTACGATACTTTATCAAAAAAATAACAGAAAAAAAAGAAAACAAAAAAATAAGCAAATGAAAAAAAACAAAAAAAAAAAAAATAGATAAGCAGATAATTACAATTTTTATAAAATCCAACGAAAATATATTAGCAAATGATTTCGTTTAATGATACTCGCGATTCGAACGAAATTCGAATAATTTTCACGTTGGAAATTTCATAAAATATTTTTCAAATTATAAGGAAATCGAGTCGAGTTGAGTCAAGTCGATACGATTTATTAACTTTAAAATATAATAAATATGTTCATTTATTGATTTATAGTTGTGCGCTCTGAAAAAAGAACTGAGGCCATCGGTCGCACCAGCATTTCCAATTCGTCCTGGTGTTCAAAGGACCTTGTCCCAAGGAACAGGAAGTTTAATAAGCGGCACGGGATATCATGGTACATACGGAATTCATGGTTCACTCGTATCTTATTCCGTTGGTTTACATGGTATCACCGAGGGTTCCATCGAAATGCAGAAAATTAAAAAGGTCCAAAGCTTTTTCCGCGGCTGGCTTTGCCGTAGACGTTGGAAACAAATCGTCGAACAATACATCAAGAGCCCGCATGCAGAGAGTATGCGGAAACGGAACAGGTTCGTTTTACCATTAAATTTCCAATTCCAGAAACGTTATCTCTTTTTCCTTTTCTCTCTTTCTCTATCTCTATCCCTATCTCTATCTCTATCTGTATCTTTATCTCTATCTCTCTAACTCTATGCAACTCTAACAGATAGAATCCTTCTTTGACGGGATCACACTGTCATTACTATCATTGCTATCAATATTACATATACATGTGCGTTGATGTTAACGTGTACATTACATCGTCATAGAGCTTTTGATAGCTTTTATTTCTTTCTATACTTTGTCTTTCTATCTTTTTCTGTTTTTTTTCTTTTTTTTTTTCTTTTTTTTTTTTGCTCTTTGTTTGCTCCTTGTCTTGCTTGTTTTCTCTTTTTTAGTCTTTTTTCTTTTTTTTTTTCGACCCAACGAGCTCAATCCACGTCGCTTGCATCCGGCCGATTCAATACTACCGCTTTCAATCGTTTCCTTCAAATTCCCCTAGACCCTTTTCACGAGCTAAGCAAAACCAAATCGACTATTTCAAATGATTTCCTCGAGTAAGTTGTATATATCTAGTTACGTAAAACGATTTAATCCTTATCGATATTAAATTATTACACTGTCGATCTATTTTAAAATCGTATATGCAACTACGTACGTACATGTATATATATATATATATATATATATATATATATATATATATATATATGTTATTTAAACATATCAGATAGATCGATTTTATTCACATACGGTTTTTTCTTTCTTTTTTTTTCTTTTTTTTTTTTTTTTTTTTTAATGATACGATGACAAATCTTAATCGATGTAACAGTAACAATCAAGAATTAATCGATCAATCTAATTAATAATATATTTCTAATTAACGTAGATCGAAACGTTAACGTTAACGTTATGTTTGCAGCACAGAAGACATTTCTTTTTCCCTTGTGTCGTTGTTTGTAAAAAAAAAAAAAAAAAAAAAAAAAAAAAAACAAAAAAAAAACAAAAAAAAAAAAAAGAAAAACCAACGAATATCCAAGATAGCGAATTAATTTCGGTGAGTTCGATGGCCTGCTTGTTTATGCACATTTTTATTAAAAAAAAAAAAAAAAAAAAAAAAAAAAAAAAAAAAAGACGCAAACGTTTCGAACAATTTTATTTGGCATTTTGGAACAAAACGAAGGTACAACGGATTTATTACGTCGAGTTATGTTTACACGTACGTCATTCGCATCGTTCTCGAAACGTCGATCGCGCAATCCGACCTAAATGCAGACGGCGGAAAATTCATCGAATTACATGCTTGAAGATGCGTTAACTGCTAGTCACCGTTCGTCCGTTCAAAGTGATTTGTTATGCGAAACCCACTTTATTTTTCTCTGAAAGATCTTTATCGAAGAGGGTCAATAAAAAAAAAAAAGAAAGAAAGAAAAAAAAAAAGAAAAGAAAGGAGAGCAAAAAAAGAAGAAAGAAAGAAAGAAAGAAAATCAGATTGCTTTACGCGAATACTCGTCAAAAGTATCCACTTTCGAACGAAGACAAACAAAAATTTGTAAAATGAATATAAAAATATATATATATATACATTTGTGATTAAATGTCGTAAGGAAAATTCTTGATAATTTTCACGTTTCATTTCAGTGATTCAAAGCAAACTTCGATTTCGATCGAACAAGATCGTAAGGATCGATGTTATCTTATATCGATTAACAAATCTTTTTATCAAAGTATCTTATCGAGGGACAACGATCAAATTAGATTTATTAGAATCAAAGATTAAGGGTCCATTGTTTATACTACGATTAATACTACCTGTTGAAGCTAATAACCTCAATGGCTTTGTACTTAATTTCCTATATAACTATTAAACGTTTGACCGATCGATCGATCGTAAACGATGATAATATCTTTATGGCTTCTATGTATTATTTAAGTATTTACGTATCTCGAGAATCATTGAAATTCTTTAGAAGTAGAAGCACGTAAAATGGATAAGAATTGAGAGAAAAATCGATTGTATTTTATATATATATATATGTATGTATGTATATATGTACATATATATATGTATATATATATTTCAGTCTGGTGTTTCAAATGGTTGAGGCAGAAGAGGAATACACGGAACAAATGGAGATATTGGTTAGCTGTTTCCTGAGGCCTTTCAAAATGGCTGCCAGTTCGAAGAAACCCCCATGTAGTCACGAAGACGTGAATAGTATATTTTTGAATAGCGAAACAGTACTGTTCCTTCATCAGATCTTCCTGAAGGGTCTTACTTCTCGTATGGAGAGCTGGCCCACTTTAGTTTTAGGTAAGCTCACACACATATATATATATGTATATATTTATATACTTAACTAGCTACCTACCTATCTACCTACCTATTACTTTGCTCCATTTTACTATGAGAAACTTTAGTACAAATATTGACTCGAATCAATGAGAATAAATCGATATTCGAGATTATTTACCAACTATTGTTTCATCATAGGTGACTTGTTCGACATACTACTACCAATGTTGTCAATTTATCAAGAATACGTGCGCAACCACCATTACAGCCTTCAAGTGTTGACCGAGTGCAAGCAATCATCGACCCCTTTTGTTGCATTGCTCAATAGATTGGAGAATAAGACTGCCTGTCATGGACGATCCCTTGAAACATTTCTAACATATCCAATGCATCAGGTATTCTTAACTATGATCTATCTTACTTATTTCATTTTTATTCACTCTCTCCTTTCTTTCTTTCTTTCTTTCTTTCTTTCTTTATTTCTTTCTTTCTTTCTTTATTTCTTTCTTTCTTTCGTTCTCTTTCTATCTTTTGTCTATTCCGTTTCGTTTCTTTTCGTTTTTCTTTCGCGAAAACTCTCACGAGACTTCGAAATTCTCAACACGTCGAGGGAGGAATAAAAGTGATAAGATTAAAAGAATGATAAGATTACAAGGGATAACATACAAAATATCTATTTTTCTTTTCTTTTCTTTTCTTTTTTTCTTCATTTTTTTTATTATTTTTCTTTTTCGTTTCTCTCTCTCTCTCTCTCTCTCTCTCTCTTTCTATCTCTTTCGAAAATACGATCGATTCAATCGGAGTAATTTTAAAATATTCATGAATAATGGATACTTTTTCTTGAAGGATGCGCAAAGAAAAGAAATGGGATTGCATGCAAAAAGAAGGACTCGACGTCGATAAATATATTTTCAAATTTTTCTTATGTAGTTTTAAAATATTAGAATTTCAGTGGAAATCCATTTACTATTTCAAATGTACATATACATAGTAAGGCTAAATGATTATTATTATTTGCAGATACCCAGATATATAATCACTTTGCACGAGCTTCTTGCGCATACACCGCACGATCACGTTGAACGAAAGAGCTTGCAGAACGCTAGGCAACAGCTGGAGGATCTGTCACGGCAAATGCATGACGAGGTATTACATACATACATACATATGTACATATATATGTATATATATATATATACATTATTAGCAATATATATACATTAGTTTACCAAACATTCGTGAATCTAATAGTAATAACATCTCCTTGAATATATTGATAGTTTGAAGTTCTATGGATGTATATATATTTAATTAATTAATAGTATTTCGTCGTCATTGTAGTTGTTGTTGTTGTTGTTGTTGTTGTTGGAACTATGAGAATAGATCAAGCGATTGTTGTTTTCCATTATCGTTAACAAGTAACGGATAGTTAGTTAAACGATCATTAATTATATTTCGTGATTTTAAAACACATACTTTTTTTTTTCACATGCGAATTTTTGTTTCTTAAAATAATTTGTTTCTTTTTCTTTTTTTTGTTTCTTCAATATATATAGCGTTTTTCTTTCACAATATATAGCGTTCATATTTGCTAATAGCAATATAATTTTCTTTTTCTTTTTTTTTTTTCATATAATAATAGATAATAATAATTTTATACTTGATATAGTATAATTATATTTAGTTTTACATTATAATAATTTTTATTTAGACATAGGTAAAAAAAAACAAAAAAATAAAAGGATCAGTTAAGATAATGATCGAAATATTATTTATTGCAATTGATAAGAGAAATTTAATTCGATTCTTACGTATTAATTTTTTATTGAGATTAAATTATCTGATCTTAATCATTAAATATTTCTTGATCATTCTAAATCATTAAATATTTCTATAAAAAAAAAAACAAATATTATATAATTTTATCAAAGAAAAAAAAGGAGGAAAGAGAAAAAAAATTCGTGAATGGAAAAAATGAAGACGAAACAAAAAAAAAAAAAAAAAGAAAAAGAAGAGAAAAAAGTAAAAGAAATATAAAATGAATTATCCTGGATTTTTAGGTGAGCGAGACAGAAAATTTGAGAAAAAATTTGGCAGTCGAGAGAATGATTGTCGAGGGTTGTGACATACTTTTGGACGTTAATCAAGTATTCGTCAGGCAAGGTAAGATTTAAATGGATACATATATCAATTAATTTTATAAAATCAAGAAAGCGGGTGGTTACGTACCCTTATAAAGAATAATAATATTAATATTAATATTAATAATAACAATAATAATAATAAATTGTTAATAATAATTTAGGAATTTGTGATTAACTTACGAACGTTTTATCGTTCGTTGAGAAAACGAAAATACAGTTCTTCCTCACAGTCGGTAAGATCTCGACTGTGGAGGGAATTTGTAGAACCTGTCATGTGCACCCTCTCTTTCGAAACGTTCGAAGGAAAATGAAGGGGAAAGTTCAGAGTTATGCGCATGCTCTTAATCGCCCTTAAGAGGAATCAATGCCAGCGACGACGACATATTCGCGTGCACGAATATAACAAACTGATTTCTCAGGGAATTTGATTCTGCGCAGTAAACAATGTTCAGTAACGTAGATACGAGAAACAAAGTTCAGTTAAAACGTTGATATATATGTATATATATATATATATACATATATAAACAAAAAAAAATTTAAGTAATCGTCAAATACATATATTATATATATTTTATATATCACGATGATAAGAGCACGAAAATATATCGTAAGACGAAATTATCAATTCAATTCGAAACTATTGATGATCCCAACGTTACAATTAGTTCTATCTAAACTATTTAAAATATTTTGCAAATTTTTTCGAAATAATCATTTACGAGATTTGATATTCTTTAAAATTCATACATTTCATTTTATTGTTAATCATTAAAAAAAAAAAAAAACTAATAATAATAATAATAATAATAATATATTTTATTTATCGAATCGAACGAAATGGATATATAGAATTTCGTCGTAGGGGATGTATTTCGCAGAATAGAAAATATCTCTAGATACGATCCTGACTCCTCGTGCTTAATATCGGATCACATGGTTACCACGCAAACGTTTCCCATTCTAACGTGTCGCACGTTAGAACTATACCGTCGCGTATTCGATACACGCAACTAACGAAGTACGAGTGTCTCCTGTGATAAAGATGAAAAATAATACAAAAAGAATCAAATGAAAATAATTGTTCCCTCGGAACGTTTGACCTTCGTTAATCGTTATTTTATCAAGATTCTCGTATGTTCATGTTTAAACAGATAAAACGAGTGTGTTCATCACGGTGCTTGCCATTTTGTTAAAGCATAAGAAACTCGGCATACGTAATTCATTACGTAAAATTGTATTCTTTTGGTTTCGTTGGAAAAACCATGGACTTTTTTTTTTTTTTTTTTCGTGGGTAGAAGAAGTGCTGGGAGGGACCAAATAAAGTACAGTTAAGGGCTTTTGGTAGGGACCAAGAATCACACTAACTTCACGTAATTATATTGAAAAGAAAGGAAGTAAGAAGTAAAAAGAGAAAAAGAAAGAAAGAAACAAAAAAAAAAATAAAAAAAAAAAAATATATATATATATATATATATATATAGAGAGAGAGAGAGAGAGAGAGAGAGTGAAGAAACGATAATTCATTAAAAATTCAGATATTATTGTCTTCAATTGTGAAAAATTTTTTAATTCACGGATGAGAAAGAAAAAAAGGTAAAACAAAGAGAAAAATGAAATTGTAAATTCGTTGATTTTAAATCGAAAGGAGATATTTTTTAGTTATTCCTTTTTAACGAGCTAATAAACTGTTCTTTTTTTTTTTTTTTTGTTTTTTCTTTCAGGTTCGCTCGTACAAATTCTAGATAAACCACGAGGAGCACGTAGCAGATTGAGCGCAACATTTGGTAGCAAAAGTTCGACCGATAAGGAAGCTGTAAGACAGTGTTTCCTATTTTCGAATCATTTGTTGCTTACTACGAGACAATCAGACGACGATGGCCGTTTGAATTTAATACCTCAAATCGGCAAGATACCATTATCGGATGCTGTTCTAATAGAGGATCCCTCTGATCAAGGTGTTACGGACGATGACGGTATTATCAGTTATAGAAATAATAAACGAGGTTAGATCTTAAAGGGTTAAAGAGATTTTGAATTATTCAATTGGTTAATATCATGTATTTTTTTTTTTTTTTTTTTTGTTTGTTTTGTTTCGTTTTTCTTTCGTCGTCGAATAATATCGATCCCAACGATCTTGATAACTCTTTACGATCATTATCTCCAAATAATATCATTTAATATTATTCTATATATATCGACGTTAAATTCTCTGTGATAGAGCAGTGATCGTAATACTTGTAGAACTTTCAGTATGCTCGATGTCCAGCGGTATCAGTGAAAGTAGCGGAAGTGGTACTGGCAATACTAGTTCGCAGCTTCAAAATCGTGACTTCAAGATTGTACTTGATGTGAAGTCTGGCGGTCCACAGGTTACCGTACATCTGGTAGCACCAACTATGCAGGTCAATACACGATTACGAATATCATTGTTTAATGAAATCTATTTTTTATTATGTTACGCGAAGAAATGTTTTTCTTCTTTCTTTTTTTTTTTTCGTCTTTTCTAATAATCATTATACTCCCTTGTAATATCTTACAGGAGAAGGCAGCTTGGATAAGCGATATAAGTCAATGCATGGACAACGTACACTTCAATGATTTATTACATAGCTCGTTGTCGGACACCAGTTCCGTCACGATGCCGCAATCGATTAGGAACGATCCTAAGTTATTCAAGGACGACGTTGACATTAGGTTCAGTCGTACATTGAACTCATGTAAAATTCCACAAATACGTTCGGCCACTCCTGAACGTCTACTTCAAAGGCTAACAGACTTACGATTTCTTAGTATTGATTTCCTCAATACATTTTTGTTGACCTATCGTGTATTCACCGATGGTGTTACGGTGTTGGAAGCGTTAAAGAAAGTGTTTTATGAGACTGAACCACCGGATGCTCAAATGCCTAGCGGCTCTCTCGCGTGAGTAAGATAAAAGAAAATAAAAAAAAAAAAAAAAAAAAAAAAAAAAAAAAGAGAAAAGAAAAAAATTAAAAATTAACACCAGACTTATCGAATACCTTTGAACAATATTCAAGTTGTTAATCATGTTAATCATGAATATTAATTTTTTTTTTTTTTTTTAACAATTTGTATTATCTTCAATTATAATGTAAAAAGAAAAGAAAAGTAGATTTTATAAAATATCTATATCTAGATTTTATAAAAAATCTAATGTTAAATCGATAAAGAAAAAGTGAGAGAATGAATGAATTTTTTTTAGATCGTTAGATGTTTTGGGAAGTAACACGGGCGAGGGTCAAACTAACACGGAGGAACGAAGACGAAGTAGCTTTTCTCCTAGAAGAACGAGCGGTGCTAGTTCTGTCTCAGGTATGAGAATATAATAATTTCGTTGTTTTCAAATTAATATGAAGAAAAAAAAATAAAGAAAAGAAAAAGAAAATGCAAAATTTTCATAAAGAAAAGTAGAAGACAGATATGTATGTATTATCTGTTTATGAAAGAAAAATTGAAAAAAAAAAAAAAAAGGTCGATCGTTTTAATCGTTCGATTAAACGAAAAATTATTTATTTATGATAAATTAAATTATTTATCAATTTAATATCTAATATGAATAAAATTTCACGATTGTTTACTTATTTAAATGGATTAATTCCTGCACATAAATATTCTTCAAGTACATACATACATATGTATATATATGCATGTTGATAAGAAATCGAATGAAATAAAATTGGCTTGATATAAAAACGAAAATATTTTTTTTTTTTATCTGTAATACTTAAATTAAAGATATTTTATTAATATCATAACTCCTTGGCGTCTTTGATATCGCATTATCTTCTTATACGCATGATATTTTACATATTACCCGTTAGAAGTCATTTGACGCCAGGGGGTCAAAAAAATGATAATCTCTTTTAATTAGGATACGAATCAGAAATTAGCGACCGTGATGCTAAGGGACATTACATGTACGAGTTTAACACTGGTGCACATATGTTAAATTCGAAGGCTCATCGACGTTGTCACAAAAGATGTGAGTATTTATTTTGTCATTCTATCTATTTATATCTTTGTCTCTCTGTCTGTTCTGTCTGTCTGTCTCTCACTCTCTCTTTATCTCTCTCTCTCTCACTCTTTTTCTGTCTCTCTCTTTCTCTCTCTCTTCCACAAAAAAAAAAGAAACAAAAAGGAAAATAATTCCTTGAAAGATAAAGTTAAAGAAAAAAAAAAAAATAAGAAAAAAAAAAGAAGAAATTTATTCTTTATTAAATATTACACGTGTGACGTGCGTGTAAGCGTTGCCTTTCGTTGCCTTTCGACGAATTCATTGTTACCTTGGCTTAGTGGAAGAGGATCAACAACTAGGATTGATAACAGAGGCACCATCGATCATGAAACGTAGTCCTACATTGCAATCGTCGAATCCGTCCGTGGCTTCTCAATCTCCGGCAACCTCACGAAAAATCAACATCCGCGTGGACAATGATACAGAAAGTGATGGATGCCATCTCACGATTCCAAAAGTTATAGCCGTATCATCCAGTTCAGAAACGCTTACGGGTATAAAAACAAATGAATCATAATAAATGAATTTTTCAATCAATAATATATATATATATATACATGTATATATATATATATGTATATATATATGTGTGTATGTGTGTGTTTGTGTGTATATAAATTTTTGTTTCCTTCTTTTTCGTCTAAAATATTAAAAATATTATTTCCATTAGATCGTCATATATTTATTCTCTATAACGTCATATTTATTATATATCCATTTTTCTCTTTCTTTAATTTACAGCTATGATGTTCTACATTGATCCAGATTAAAAAATGATTCAATAAGAAAGATAAAACAAACAGAAAAAGAAAAAGACTTGTGTAAGAGCTCGTAAAGAAAAAAAAAAAAGAATAATAATATCGCTAAAAGGGAAAAAATAAAATGAAATAAAATAAAAATCATAATAAAAAAAAAAAAAAAAAAATAATAATAATATTAATAATAATAATAATAATAAATGAAACAACGTGTCAAGTGGCAACAATGAAAAGTTTGCTTTGCATGTACAACCACCAACTACTTATCTTTTTTTTTTTTATCATGACAAATTAATAGAGATTTATTTTCTTTGTCTATCTTTCTAAGTCTATCATCTAATTACAGATGCGACCGTGATAAGCGCACCTTCCTCACCGAGCAATTTAAGCTCGGTTACGTTGATTGGATCGACGGGTTCTGGATCTGGATCTGATCCTAGTCCTCAAGAAGGAGGCACAATTTCTAGAGGTATTTCAGAGGAAACAGATACGCCTGTAGCTACAGGATCAGCTTCAAAGGATGGTAAGTTAGTAACGTTAATTTATAATATTTAACATTTAAATTAATATTTTTCTTTTTTTTTTTTTTTTTTGATAAAAATAAAAATTAAAAGTTAATTCATAATAATTAATTTTAATTAATTTTTCACATACGTTTGTCCTTTGAGAACATTAACCTCACGATTGGATAGATTAATTTTGGATCGTAATGATACTCGATGACTTTTAATAATTCTATTTCTATTTGGCACAAAACTCCAATCTAATACTGCAAATAAAAATTTCAAATAAATTCAAATTATTTATTGTGATATAAATATTAACGTATCTCGGATATTATTATTGAACAAGCAGCATTGATTTATTTTCAATTTAAATTTAATTTCAATTAAATATTTTGAATATTCATCGAGATTACTCCTATAATATTTGAATTTGTACATTGTATATTTTTGGATTAATATATTTACATTATTTACACAAAATATAAAATAATAATGTTATAAACCGATCGATTTCAATCAATGCACGTACACGTATATAAATAAATCAAATTGAAATTAAATCCTTTTTCTTTTTTTTTTTGTAACGAATTAATTGATTTTCAATCGATCGTTAGTTTCGTCATAATTAATATTGAATAAAATAAAATAGATTATAAGTTTTATTTCTTTTTTTTTTGGAGGGGAGGGATGGGAGGAGGTAGAGGCAGGGGGAGGGGTAACAAAACAAAAATATAAGTACGTATAACGATATAATTCAAACAGAAGTACAATTTACGTATGCCGATCAACCGCTGGTGTCAGATAAGTCAACGGATTCTTCTGAGAGCGCAGAGAAAACACCTACAACACCTATTACACCATCAACACCTCGAATAAAAGATCACGAGATTGAAAAAGAAAGAAAGGAATGTACTGACGACGAGAAGGCATCATCGACAGTTGTTCAGACTCAGCATACCTCTAATCAAACTCAATATCAACATCAGTATCAGCATCAACATCAACATCAGCAACAATATCAACATCATCATCAACATCATATGGAACATAGAGCGTCCGTAGCTTCAGCGCCAGTTACTGGAATGAGAAGTGGCTCGATTTCGACCGTAGCAGGAGTACGTTAACGAAAATAGAACGAAAATCGTCTTTTCAAAAAATCCATTCTTTTTATTATCCTCAAATATTTATACATCAAATCGAAACAAAATTATCCTCTTAATTGACACGTAAAATGTCATTATTATGTGCTTATGTAGAATCATAAGGAGGATGGTATTGATGAAAGTAAGAAAAAAAAAAAAAAAAGAAAAAAAATGAAAAGAAAAACAAAATAGAAAGAAAAAAATTTATGCATTTACTTAACTTTAATCAACAAAAAAATTAACATCGTGATTATTTAATTGATCAAATTCAGAAGAGAAAAGAAAAAATATTTTCTTTAACAATAGAGAAATGATGATAAATGTATTTATGGAATCGTAACGAAGATGGTAGATTGATGAAGGAAAAAAAGAAAAGGAAAAGAAAAAAAAAAAAAGAAAATATTATCCATTTACTTAACAATAGAAAATTAACATTAAGATTATATTTAATTGATCGAAGTTGGAAAGAAAGAGAAAATAAGAGACATTTCAATTAATAACAAAGTTACGACGAACGAGCGAATCAGAATTAAACATTTTCAAATGAATGAACTTCTTAAGTAATCAGTATAGCATTTATTATAATTTTTTTATTCCTCTCCTTTCTTTTTTTTCTTTTTTATATTAAAATATTCATTTCTAAATAAAATTGATCTCTCTCTCTCTCTCTCTCTCTCTCTCTCTCTCTCTATCTCTCTTTTTCTCTCAGTCTTTAAAAGATTAAATAAACAAATGCACATATTAATTTTTCTTATTACCGATAACATCATCGTTACGATTATTAAAACGTAGTAATGATCTTTTAAAATTGAACGGTGAGTTTGCAAATATTTTTTGAGACTCACTTGTATATATATATATATATATATATATATATATTTATGATCATTTAATAATCATCGTCTTATTTGTTATATCTTTTGTTCGTTCGTATAGAATTATTGGGCCAGTAGACGATCGTTTCAAGAGAATGAATTATCTTCGTCGCAAGGAAACTTTCAGCATGATCAACAGGTATCCAGTAAAGCCGGCGTGGTAGTGACCAGTTTCCGACAAAGTCATCGAAGGTTGGTTTCGAGCTTCGTATAACTCGTACGTGTGATTTTTGTACGTAATCAGAGTGCGCATGTAGACTTTTAAATATACATATACGATATACATACATATATATATATGTGTGTGTATACCTATATATGGATACACGTTAGATACATATGTATGTAACGTATACATATATATATATATATATATATATATATATATATATATATTTGTATGTGTATTATGGTTTGTATTGTTATTCGAATTTAGAATTGTTATTACGCTGCATTTATTTCTTTTTTTCAAATAATGACAAAGGTCTGTAATGTTAGGGCTTTAAATCGATCATGAATCGATACGTGTTATATAAATGTATAATATATCTGTGAATATAATAATAATTTTGTGTACAACGTGCGTAAAAATTATCTCTATTTCGTTGGTCACTTGTTGAGAGAGGAAAGAGAAAGAAAAAAAAAAAAAGGAAAAGAACGAAAAAAAGAAAAGGAAAGAAAAGAAAAAACAATTTAATGTGGCAAAAAAAAAAAAGAGAAAAAGAAGAAAAAGAAAATTACTTTTCACGTTTTGTACGCATTGGTGCTTTATCATATCATTATTAGCATTCTAATTTACTATCCGTACCTTTTGATAATTATTGTACATGTAACGATTCTTTTTTCTTCCATACCTATCTTCTTAATACTTATATGTATTTATCGCATACAACGCAATATACATATTATTATATGTATATATGTTATCTCTATTTTCATCTTATAATAACATCTATTTATATATTGTAATAAAAAAAAAAAAAAAAAAAAAATTTTCCAAAGAGGCGATAGAAAATATATAAATATTTCTATTTACATAGAACATAAAGTTTTACCCTGATCAAACTGATTTGAAAAAAAAAATTAGCCTATCACCATAACCGGGAATATATTTCTATTATTTGTATAATCGTCGTTTTAATTAAACTGTAATTCATATGTTGTTTTGCGTCATTCATAGCATCGGACCCCAACCTATTTGGTAAGTAAGTGCGTTCATCTGTGCTTTTTGTAAATGATGCTATTATTTATTATTTACAAAAAATGACGCATGACGCATATACTTTGTCAGCTTTTAACGTAATATATTATCGTAACGACATCTATCTATCGCTTGCCTGTGCTTTCATTAGTCAAATCACACTCTCTTACACACATATGCATACACTCTCTTACACACACACACATATACATATATACATACATATACACACACATCCACATATATATATATTAACTTTGCATAGGTCCCGTTTGATTTTAATCTCACTTCTCGTGAATATTTTCCAATTAATTTTCTAATTAATTCTCTTTTACATACGAATATATACGAATATATATATATATATATATATATATATATATATATATATACGTACGTATATATTTGTTTCTTCTTATTATTTCGATGAATTAAACGAAATAGAAATAGTTCCGAACCTCGATAGTATATGCCTATGCTCACTGCTATACGTTTACACGTTGTACGTTTGCTGGGCTAGTCGATTAGATTGCACATTAGAACGTAGATTAGACGAAACTTTACGCGATGATCAATGATAATGATTAAAAAAGAATAGAAAGATAAGTAAAAATATTATTGGAGTCGATGTCGACGAGCAGACAAAGAAAAGAAGAAAAGAAAAAAAAGAAAAAGAAAAAGAAAAAGAAAAAGAAAAAGAAAAAGAAAAAGAAAAAGAAAAAGAAAAAGAAAAAGAAAAAGAAAAAGAAAAAGAAAAGAAAAACAGAAAAAAGAAAAGGAAAGAAATGAAATAAAAAAGCGCGAAATATATTTATACATATATATATATATATATATATATAAATATATATATATATTTTTTAGATTTATCATATGGTTAGAGCCAATTTGTGAAAATAAATTAGCGAATCGATGATACGATTATTTTTAATAGATTTTCGTTATTAGCCAATCGATATCGTACTATCAATTAATTTGTCATATCTCAGGAGCAGTACATCAACGGCAGCAACTGCCTTCGCTATAGCAACTTCAGCGTCGAGTAATCCACCAGACAAAGTACCTGGTAGATGCAGTGTTAGCGATGGAAATCATCGAACTGGTTCATGCCGTGATAAAAATAGAAGAAAGGAATCGGTTATGTCAACGGCAGCTACAATGCGTGTACTCAACGTTCTTCGACATTGGGTTTCAAAGCACGCGCAAGATTTTGAATTGGATCAGAAATTGAAAAACTTGACCATAGAATTCCTCGAGGATATCATATATAGTCCGAATCTTTTGCCGGCCGAACACAAAGCTGCTAGTCAATTGTTACGATTGATCACCAAAGAGGAACCTGAAAGTAACAAAGTCGATCTCAAGAAGCTATTGACTCCACCCACGGTGAGAATTCATTTTAAAGATTATAATAAAGGAACATTGGAAGAAAAAATTTATTGCAATGATCTTTAGGCATTCGATGATTTTGTTTCTTTAAATGATGCCTATAAAAAAGAAAATAAAAAACAAATGTGAACAATTCAATGATTTATCATGAAATTAATGAAATTTAATCAGCTGTATATTTTATCGTTCATTTTAAAGGACGTTTATTTTAAAACGACAAAGGATATAAAGTGATTCGATTGAAAAAGTTTTTCTTATTTATTATTTATCAATAATTTTTCTCGTTTTTTTATCAAGATAAAATAATAATTCTTATTATTTATCAAAAATATTTTTCATATTACTTGTCGATTATAAATAATATCAGAAAATTAATTCATTGAAAATGTTTATTAAGCAGAAGTATATATGAAATCAATTGTAATTTGATTAATTAAAAAAAAAAAAAAAAAAAAAAAAAAAAGAAAGAGAAAAAAATAATTGCAAACAATATTAAGTTCAAGTAAAATTTCGTATAGATTAATCGTTAACGAAGTGAATTTTATGTTCACTTAATTAATTTCCAAATTTATTTATTTATTTATTTATTTATTTATTTATTTATTTTTTCTTTTTGCATAATCGATTAAAAAAGTTTCTTTCCGATAAAAGAAATTTGTTTGTTTTTTTTTTCTTTCTTTTTTCTTTTTAATTATAAATTTCTCCTTTGTCAAATAAATTTCAGTTTAATCAATTAGATTTATCGACTCGAACGTTAAAGTAATCGATCGAATGAATTATTACAGTTGAATGTATAATTAAACGAAATAAAAAAAAAAAAAAAAAACCATTTTCTTTTTCTCGATCATAGATGGCAAGTAAGGAAAGTATCGAGACTTTATCAGCTCTAGAAATTGCCGAACAAATGACGTATCTGGATCATCAGATATTCGTATCGATCGCTAGCGAGTAAGTGGAAAAAAAATTGTACGAATTTTTATCATGTAGAAATTACGATGAAAGAGAAAAAATATTAAAAGGAAAATGAAATAAATAAAAATAAAAATAAAAAAGATATGAAGAAACTTAATAACAAAAATATATTTGTCAAACAGAGAATTTCTTGGCCAAGCATGGATGAAGACGGACAAAGCGACACGTGCACCGCATATTTTATTAATGACGAAAAGATTCAATGAAGTCTCTCAATTAGTCGTTTCAGAGATCATTCGTCGAACAAATATGTCAGGTAGAGTAGCAGCAATCGAAAAATGGGCAGCAGTTGCGGATATCAGCAGAGTATTACACAATTATAATGGAGTATTACAAATTTGTGCTGCATTTACCAATACCAGTGTTTATAGACTGAAAAAAACCTGGGAAAAGGTTTCAAAAACGGTAAGATGATTAATTTAATTTTTATTATTAAATTTATTATATAATATATATATATATATATATATATATATATATATATATATATATATATTAGGAGGATCGGAAAGTAATGTCGCTTTCTTAAATTAAATTCAAACGAATAAATTTTTAACAATTTTTAACAATTTTTAACAATTTTTAACAATCAAATATCGACATGCGCAGAAACGACATTACTTTCCGACCCCTCTAATATATATATAATATAATAATATAATAATATGTAAATCAATACGTATTATTATTATTATTATTTATTTATTATTAATTTTATTATACTTTAGTTACATCAATATCATTTCTTAACAATATTTAAGTTCAAATATTTCATAAATAAATAATCTTTTGATATACAAACAAAAACACATAATTCCATTAAAAAAAAAAAAGAATATAATTCTGTACTGTATAATCTTTTTTCTATATATATATATATATATATATATATATATATATATATATATATATATATATAGAAATATATATATATATATATATATATATATATATAAAACGACAGGGATATTCAAAATGATCAAAGTTATTGATCTCACTCTTTTATAAATTTTTATTTTTTATTTGATATATTATATATTATATATTATATATTATATATATATATTTATTTAATATATATAATATATTAAATAAAAATTATATATATATATGATATATTATGTAAGTATAATATGTACACATATAATAAATATACGATATACAATATAATAATATAATAAATAATAACATAATTTTGTAATACGTTTATTTGAAACAATTTTATTTAATTTTTTGTAGACTAAACAAACCATAGAAAAACTTCAAAATATCGTCTCCTCCGACGGACGATTTAGAAATTTGAGAGACGCATTGCACAGATGCGATCCACCTTGTATTCCATATTTAGGACTTTATCTTACCGATCTTTCCTTCATAGAGGAAGGTACACCGAATTTCACCGAGGAAGGTCTATTAAATTTCTCCAAAATGAGAATGGTACGTT